TTTCGGTAACGAGTCAGTATTGGCAGGGAGCGGCCAGGGCTGCCGGTGCCCGTCACGTTTATAGGCCTACATTTTATTTTTATGTTTATTGGGTTATTTGAGATCATTATTAGTTTCTCTCTCCTCTTGTTGATGTGTTCTTGCTCCCGGCTCCTCCAGGCGGGAAAGGTGGGGGAATGGGAGATGGGGCCACCTGCTAGACTGAGCCGCCCCGCCGGAGCCGGGCAGTGCGCAGGAGCTCGACCCGCTCGCGTCCCGCTGCCCGCTGTTGCTGCCCGCTGTTGCTGCCCGCCCTGCCTGCTGCTGCTGCTGGCTGGCCCCCGCATCGCTCCCCTCCGGGACCGGGAGAGACCGTCCCTGTGCAGAGCTGCTGTGTTACAAATTAGCCTCCATCGCCTGAATCCATCGACTAGATTGAACGTTATCTATCACACTATGGAGGGAGTCGTTATTTAATAATTAATAAAGACCTCTGATTCTTCTTCGCTGCCTGTGTGGCCGAGCAGAGCGGGCCAGGGAAGCGAGGGCAAGCCGGGGAGAGCTGTCTTCTCTCTAACTGCTGCTGTTATTTAAAGGAATAATGCCATTCTTTTTCATTTGTCAGCTGGCCCACAATGGCCCTTGTCATGCTTTATGATTTAGGGTTTCCTTTCCTTTCCCATTAAACGCCACCTTCCCATCACCGCCTCGCGCCAGCCAGCCTCTGCTCCTGGCTTGCGGTTTCAGTTTCACTCTGATATTGGCCCAACTTCTTTGATGGGCTACTCCGAGCACTAATTGCTTCTGTTCATTTAAACCTGTTCACTAATTTGCAGTGGCCCTTTATTAAGTTGGATGCAGCCCAAATTACACCATAAATTACGCTCGCAAGGGGACTGGGTGTCATGGGGGATAAATGGGCTGCCTGTTCCCTGCCCCCCGCCCCCCCTTCTCTATCTTCCTGTGCAATGCGTGGGGGATGCAGGTCTCAGCCTGAGGCTGTGGGTGCCGAATTTGGGAGATCTGAGCCCAGACCCATTTGGGGAGGTGTCTCTTTCTCTAGCTAAAGCTCCCTCCTTCTCCCTTCATCTGCAATGGCTATTGCTCAGTTGCAAAGAAGATCCAAGCTGGGCAGGGATGGATTCTGCATGCTCCATACTGTGCACAGCCACGTGCACCCCTTTTGCCCTGGCGTGCGCGCGCACACACACACACACTGACACACGCACTCTCCCTCCTCTCCTACCACCTGGTGACGTAACTTTGCTTCTAGTCGGCAGTTTGATTCCTTTCCTCACCTTTTAATGACCGGGGAATTCATTAATAATTGAAATAAACATGCTCTTTTCCAAGGCTGCTGAGTTTTATTAAGGCAGGGGCAGGGATCTGCCAACCCCTGGCTGCAGCCATTTCCTAAATAACTGCTAGCAGTTAAAATGTAATTATTATTATTATTTTTTTTAAATAGGGGACTTCGCTGTGCTGGGGAAAGCAGAAGGGAGCTGAAGGCAGCCGAGGGGCAGTGCGCACCGTTGCTGCAGGCCTGGTCCATCATGGGAAGTGAGCAACGTGAGAACTGCTCACCCTAACAGACGTACCTGGGGAGAGGGGTGTCTGTGCCCTCTGGGAGGCATTTCTGCCTGGCTTTACCACTGCGGTGAACTCCAGGGAAATGTTTCTGCCCCACTGGCTAGCACTAGATCTCCTGTATCTGGTAGCTGTGGGTACCACCATCTCCTCTGCCATCTGCGGGTGCCCTGGCTGGCTAACTGGGGATGCTGGTGGACCCCAGGGAGCTGCTTACCTGATATTCAGCTGGGTGAGCTTCTCCAGCTCCTGCTCCATGTGCTCCTGCAACTCCCCGGGGCGAAGGAGGACCTGGCAGATGGGGCAGATCGGAGCCTGGCTGTCAAACAAAGTTGCTTTCTTTTTGCCTGCGGGGAGGAAAAGAGGGGAGAAAGCTTTAGCTCTGATCAGCTGCCATCAGCATCGCCTGCGCTCTGCCCTGGTCTCCATCCTAGTTGAGGTCTGAAACTGGGGGATTTTCTCCCAGTATAGCCCCATTTCTCTCCCCGTCCCATGCTTCCTGGGGCAGGGACTGGCTCTGTTCTGAAGCAGGACAGCAACTGGCACAAGAGCATCCCAGCTCTGGCTGTCGTCCCTCCAGTCTTACAGGGAAACAAACAAC